TTTAGAAGTGCACAGCCCCCCTAACAAAACTGTCTTTTTAAAAAAAAAAAAAAAAAAAAAAGGTGGTTCAGCTCTCTTTAGTCCTGAGAACGTTACTGAAGGTCAGGGCTCCAAACATTTTAAGAGGACAATATACTAAGCCAGAATGGAGGACAGGCAGAAACCAGGAGGGTAACTTAATAAAATCAATTTCTCTAACATTTTCAGCCCTTCACCCTGAACCAACTATCATCATCATGAATCACAATGTTCAGTCTAGGGAAAAGTTAAAAAAAAAAGAATAATACTGGAGAAACAGCCTAATAAAAAGACCCTTGAAATATACAGATAATATTCAATATTAAATTTCTGAATTAGAAAAAGTGTGGCATTTCCAACTACTTCTAGTATATGCCAAACCTTCTTACGGGGTTGCACACTAAACTTCAGTTTTTAGCAGCTGGCTATAGGAATCAGGTCTGTCTGATACTGCTCTTTTCTCCACTTACGCAGTTGTCTTGTGAACAAGCCAGGCTTCGTGTTGTCCATGGAGCTGCTCAAGATAGGCCAGCTCGATTCCTTTTTCTTCCTCTCTGGCCCTCTGGTGTAGTCTCTTCAAACAAACCTAGAAGACAATCCCAGGCCCTGCTGAGCACATCTGCTGCTCTAGCTGTTAGAAAGCAGTCTCGGGGGCACTGAGATCCACTCCTGAATCTGTCTATCTTGGTGGGCACTACGAACTATGACTTTGCTTCTGCCATCTTGCTTTCTCATTCATCAGAGGATCTACACCCCTCTCTCCACCTCCCCTCCAGCCTGTCTTCCTCTGGTGCACCTTAAGTTGGTCAATGGCAAACATCATCCCCTCAGCCATCCAGGCCTGGAGCCTAGAATTACCCTTCTTTTTCCTCCTCCCAACCACATCCAGTAAGTTTCTAAATTCTCTCATCTCTCTCCAGTTGGTTCTCCCCTTGCCTCTCCTTTCACCTCTACCCTCGTCAGAGGGATTAGAAGAGTGTGCCTAATTCTATTCTGCGCTTACTGGTAGGAAGTCTGAAGCCCACTGACTCAGAGAATGCGGTATTGTTGGTTAGCTATCCTAAAAGCCCATCCCTCTACTCATCACCTCTCACATGGGTGAATGGCCAGAGCCTTCCTAGAGGCAGAAAAGCATGTCGAAAGAGCACAGCTTTAAAGGGGCTCGTTCCTTCCTTATGTACTAGCAGTGCCATCTTTGTGGGCTTCCATTTCCTCATTCTCCATCCACCCCATATGCTGCTATAAGATTCACTGGGGTGAAGTGTGGCAAGCTCTTGGCAGAAGCTGTTCTCACCCTCATCTGTTCCCTTCAGTGCCCCCTTCCAAAGTAATGTAATATAATGGCTTTACTTTCCTTGCTTAAATCCTTCATAGGCTTGTCACTGCCTACAACATAACCTTGTGGTTTAGAAAGTATGTGTAGAAACATCTTCATGTCATACCAAATTCTTGCTCTGGAGTAGAATTAAAGTAAGACAAAGAATTGGTGGTGGTGGTGGAGGGAACGGTGAGACTTCAGACTGACTCCCCCTCCCTCCTACTTTACAGAGTGTGCCTAACTCTATTCTGCACTTACTGGAAGGAAGTCTGAAGCCCACTGACTCAGATAATGCGGTATTGTTGGTTACCTGTCCTAAAAGCCCACCCCCCTACTCCGCCCCTCTCGGCTTCCTCAGCTCCTCCCCTGGACTCACTGCTTTAGCCAGACTGGCCTCCCTCCCGTGCCCTCCCTCCCATGGGATGGGTGAGCTCTTTCACACCTTAAAACTTGCTCCAAATGTTTGTTTTGCCTGAATTGCCCTCATTCCTCTCACTGGCTGGCAAACATTTCGTTATTCAATGTCAACTGTCCTGAAAGAACAGCTGGATTAACTCACTGATTTCCCTTTCAAATACTTAAGAAACTATAAACTTTATTTCCAAGTATAGTGTACAGTATTCCCAAAGATATGGGTGGGTCTTTGTTGTTTCCCTCCCATCCTACCTTTCCTTTGAGGAAATGAAGTCATGTAAACAAATTTCCTTTATGACCTATGTCCAATTTTTCAAAACCAACACACACACAAACAGCACTTATCTCGTCTCTCCCTTCCCACTAATCATTTAATAACTGTCCCAAACTCAGATGAAGTCTCTAGTTAATTTAGTTAGACAGTAAGTAAAACACAGTGGTTCAGATAAGGGGGAGAGCAATGTGGACTTCGGTGCTCAGAGGGTGTTTCAGGGAAGAGGCAGGATACTCAAGTCCCCACTTCTGTGGAGCTCCCCTTTCACCTCTCACACCAGCTTATGGAGCACTGCTCTGTGAGCTGAGCACTGTGCTGGGCCCTGGGGAAACATACCCCAGTGGTATTTCAGAGGAACCAGGGCACAGAGGGAAGTCTGCCAGGACCCTATGAGGGCACAATGACTGAAGAACACCCGAGCAGGGTCCAAGTTTGTCATTATAGGGCTGAAGCACAAGATCTGGCTGAGCAGATGGTTAATAAATATTTACTGTACATTGAATTGTTCCTCAGTGTCCCTCAGGGGATTAGTTCCATGACGTCCTGTGTATACCAAAATCTGCAGATGCTCCAGGCTCTCATGTGAAATGGCACAGTTGTGTATAGCCTAGCCACATCCTCCTGTACCCTTTAAATCATCTCAGGTCACTTATAATAGCTAATACAAAACATACGCTATGTAGGTAGTTTCAACATTGTTAAGGGAACAATGAAAAGTGTATGTGTTTAGTACAGATGCAACCAAAACCATTTTTTTTTTCCAATCTGCAGTTGGTTTAATATGTGGAAGTGGAATCCACAGATACAGGGGACCTAGTGTATTTATTTAATTTCCACTCATATTCATTTAACATTTTAATTTCTGAGCTGTCTTTCTATCTGCACTTACCTTTTTCTCCTCCTTTCATCCTTTCCAGTTATTCTGAACCTGCCTCTTTTTCTTCCTTCTTCCTATCTTCCTACCCCTGCACCCCCACCCTCACTGCTGATGGCCTCGAGACCTTCCCCCATTGTTCTCCTCCCTCTGTCATCACACACAGTTCTAGTACACTGTGACTTCCAGTTACCAGCTTTCCCCTGCACGGACAAGCGACGTGACTAACTTTACTATACATGAAAGTATACTAAAATACTTTCAGAAGTATTCTATGAATATGTATGTTCTTACCCTCTTATAGAGTCAACAGAAAAGTCATGACGCATTTTTGCATAAGAACACATAGAAAAATACATCATGACTTTCCCAACGACCTCATATAAAAAAGGGGCTCAGCCATGTACTGTTCTTGTTTTTCTTCACTAAACAATGTGTATTGGAGATGGTTACACATCACCACAGAAGAAACATTCTCATTCCCTTTTTTTTTTTTTTAAATGTCTTCAGAGTTTCCCATTGTGTGGCCTGAGCATAATATATGCAACCAGTCCCTCCTGATGAACACTTGGGTTGTTTCCAGTGATCTGTTACTACAAACAATACCGCCTTGCACATAGGCCATCTGCCTGTGCGTGAGCATATTATGGAGTGAATTCCAAGCAGCATTACTAGGGTGAAAGGTATGTGCACTTACCTCTTATTGTCATATGCCACCAAACTTCCTGCTTAGAGGCTAACCAATTTAGATTTCCACCAGCACGGTAGCTTTAGGATTTCTAAATATAGCAAAGCTACCTAATTTTCCTCTGTGACAAAAATACTGTTTTAAATAGCAAAAATAAATATTTTTTTAAATGTGGCTATGTATTTTCAAGTACACACAAGGGCAAGGCGATTGTTTTTACAAAAGCTATTTATAATTATCCATTCAGTGCTTGGAGACAAACATTGATGCTAACATTGATCTCCTATAAAAACAGGCTAACATTTCTCTTTTTACTATTAATTTGCTTAACAGAGCAAACTTTTTTCCCCTAGAAGTCTAAGTAAACTCCTATTTTAAGCATTTGGCATAGTTTTTATAAATATGGTTACAACAAATCCTTTTATTAAAAGAAAAAATTCTGGGGACCAGCAGATGGCATAATGGCTATGTTGCTGGACTCCCATGTAGTCAACTGTGGTTCAAGTCCCAGACTCGGTGGCTTGAACTCGCGCTGGGCACATGTACCTGCGTGCCCAAGATTTCAAGAGGAGAATGGAGGAGAAGGGATTGTGGCATGGCCATCCCCCCTGGGGGTGATTTCTGACTTTCTGTCTCTCTGTCTCTCTCTGTCTTTCTGGCAAGCATATGTGCCTGTGCCCTGTAACAAAAACCTCTTTAAAAGAAAAAAATTCTGTGCAAATAGTGCTTCAATCTGATTCCTATTCTCCTCTTAGCTTCAAAGGGAAGACATACCAGAATGTGAAGAGGAAAGACAGCACAGTTGCAAATGGCAGGGAAGGGATCCTTTTATGGATCTTCTCCTTAACCTGCACTTCCCAGGAAGAAGGGCCGCTGCTAGGAATGCTTGGAATCTGAGATAGAAGGTGGACCAGCCTGCTGGCAGGCCTGGTCTCCATACCTCCCAAGCTCAAACCCAGGTGCCATTTGCTCTGGTGTGCTCCCTGCATGCAGTCTCCATGCTGCAACAGTCACAGGCAAGGCCTGGCTCTTTGAGGCACACTGGCCCGCTGCACTCTCTCTTTCTGATACCAAGGGGCTGGGTGGGAACGCTGAGACCAAGCCACTTCTCTTTTATTTTTTTTTAACTTGTTGGCTTGCTTGCTTTTTTAGAATTTAGGGGAGACTGGGAAAGAGCAGAAGGCCCTGCTGAGGTTTATTTCATGTGATCTAAACTTAGTGTTCACCAGGACTCCACACAGGAGCACTGGCATTGCACAGCTTTTCACACAGAGATACTGAAACTTCTGTTCTGCTCTTTCCTTGGATATAGTTATCAATGGATCACACAGACGATGACAGGGCTGACTTTGGGAAAGGACACAGGCAATCCAGGGTCCCTGGCTCTAATGCCCTCAAAATAGCACTAAAATCTCTATCCAATCTCAAAATGAATAAGTTAATTTTTTTTTTCCATTAAAGTGCAACAATCCTTCTCACAGCATCTTACTTGAAAAACTTCAATTAGCTAGGGACCAGCAGATAGCGTAATGGCTATGTCGCTGGACTCCCATGTAGTCGACCGCGGTTCGCGTCCCGGACCCAGTGGCTTAAACTCATGCCGGGCTCGTGTGCGTGCGTGCCCAAGATCCCAAGAGGAGAATGGAGGAGAAGGGATTGCAGCATGGCCATCCCCCTGGGGATTGATTTCTCTGCTTTTTGTCTCTCTCTGTCTTTCTGGCGAGTGTATGTGTCTTATAGCAAACTCCACGCCTCCCCCCCAAAAAAACCACTTTAATTAGCCTTTCCACAAAGACACCCCCCCCACACACAGTGAGAAGAGTAATAATAATCCTCATTCCTATGCCCTGGAGTGCACAAGAAAGAGAGGTGAGGAAGTCATTCTCACTTTCGTGCCCGGGTCCCAGTGTCCGGGTCCAACCTTCTCTCCCTAGAAACTAGAGCCTCTGTAGCAGGCCAGGCCCAGCAGCCTTGATTCACTCCCAGAAATGAGTCAGCCCACGTCCTTCTTTGTTCCTCCCCAGCACGGTCTTCATGGCACTGAGCTGACCGGGTCAAAGTTCTGCTTCTCTTGGAAAAGGTTAGGTCAGTGCTCTCCCTACTTCTAAGGCTCAGTCCCTCAACATTCTGCTCTGTCAGTCCAGCCCAGTTTTCCCAGGGAAAACCTTTCATTGCTTCACATCTAACCCAAATCTCTACTCTGCCCCACTCCACTGCACTCTCAGCCTGGATCCTGTGCTCAGCTACTTCAAGCCATCCCCTTTGGCAGGGGCTTCTGTTCCCCTAATCACTGCCACCAATCCTTACCCCTAAAGTATAATCGCATTCGTAATTTGCCCCTTCTATTCCTGCTCCCAGGCAATGAAGATGGAAAGAGTCACATATGACCCAACCGGTTCATTTGCAATTAATGCATCTAATTTTAGCTTGGTTCTTTTTTTTTAAATAGAGGTTTTTGCCATAGGGTACGTGTGCTCGCCAGGAAGACAGAGAGAGGCAAAGAGACAGAAAACGAGAAATCACCCCCCAGGGGGGATGGCCCCGTCGCAATCCCTTCTCCGCTATTCTCCTCTCGATATCTTGGGCACGCACGCACATGCACCCGGCGTGAGTTTAAGCCACCAGGTCCGGGACTCAAACCACGGTGGACTACGTGGGAGTTCAGTGACATAGCCATTACGCTAACTGCTGGTCCCTAGCTTTGTTCTTTTCAAAAAAGGTTCTTAGCCTCTAGTCTCACTGACTCCTTAGTTCAGCTCCATTTTAAACCTCAGGCCCTGTTTATTTCTACAGAACCTCATATTCCCTCCTAAGAATGAGCCTCATAATCTCCAGAAACTCCTGACACAAAGATCTCCAATATCTGGTCCCAGTCCCACTCCAAGGCCTCTTCTGGGTGCTACCTTCCTGAGGCGAGGCCCTTTTTCCCCTTTGGCTTGTTGGGAGTCTGTGTGACAGGCGCTTTCCCACTTGTTCTCTAACTCTGCTCACTCACAGCTCCCTCTGTCCACAGCACTTATTCTCAACTCCACCAAACATGGCCTCAAGCCTGAAGACTGCTTTCCCTCCCAAGACGATGTGGTATAACGGCACTTGACTGTGTCAAGAAAGCAAAACATCTCTCAGAAAACACTTCTTGCCCTAGCTCAGAATCCCACTCCAGCAGAGCCCTCAGAGGTCACCTAGTCAGAGCCAATGGATTTCACGGGCAAGGACCCCTCTAGTGGCAAGATTTTTAGGGAATGCCCAAGGACTACTGAGGTCTCCAGAGACTCTAGTGCCATGGCACATCCTATTGTGTGCTGGGCTGGCTCCAAAGTCCAAGTCAGAGTCAGGGAATGTGATTTCTGCAAGTCATCCCGCCTTACCAGTGGCATCCTCAACGTTCTAAAGGGGCTATACATTTTAGTAGTACCAGTAAGGGAAACTTCTACTCTTCCTCCCCAAAGCCTATTCAGGAAATCACCGAGAACACTACAGATTCTGATGACCCAGTCAGAAGGAAGGAAGACCTGAGGCTACTGGCTGCAGTCAGAGCATCCAACCTGCAACCCCTGAGCTGAACAGTAAGATAGCGCCCCCTGTGCTCCATACTGCTGCTGCCTCACCAGGGACTTGTAGGGATGGCCAGTGCTTTAGCACCTGCTGCACAAAACCTGTACGAAATGGGTGCTCACTGCTAGGATCGGAGGGCATTCACCCACGGCTCTCTGGGTTCCAGATAATACCCACACTCTAACTTTTCCAATTAGGAAAACAGAAGCTTAGAGATGGTCAATTCCTAGGTCTCATATGGCCCTAAAGTCCAAGGCTTTAGGCTCTGTGTTACCTGGGGAGTCGCCTGAAGGTAGATGAAGCCATGTAAAATGAGCCGGCTGGCAAACTCCCGCAGGAGGAAAGAATGCCAGTCCTGATAGATATGCCATTCGATGTCACTGAGGGAACCATTTTCAAAAAGATTCTTTGCAAAGATATACCTGGTTGGAAATGTAAGTGGGATGGGGATGGGAGGGAGAAGGGGTGGGAAATGGAATGAAAGGGATAAGAGAGAGAGAAGCAGAAAAATCAATAACCAACTTGTTCCATATCTGTTCAAGCCACTTAACCTTTCTAACTCATCCTTAAGAAATCTGAATTCTTCACCCATATCTCCCTCCCTGCTCAACACTAAAATGGGAAATAGCATCTAGACTTTAGAGGCTGAAATTGCAGCTTTCCAGATGGGCTAATTCACTGAAAGACATGGGACACGAGAAGAGAATACCAGCGGTCCTTAATAATTTTCCCTGCTAGAAATCAGCTAGAATACACAGCAAACAGTGCATGTAAACTAGAACTTCTGAGAATTCCTTATGATTACAGCCCCACCCCCCGCATAAAAAACAAACAAACAAACAAAAAAACAGGACCAGCAGGTATTGTGAAGGTTAAGGCACTGGACACCTGACAACTATGGGGTTCAAGTACTAGACCTAGCAGTTTGAAAATCATGCCAGGAACATGTGCATGTCCAAAAGCTGGAGAGGAGACAGGAAGAGAAAGAACTGTGGCATGGCCATCCCCTCTACAGATGGGTGTGATTTTTCACATTCTTTCTCTCCCTCTAGCAAACACATGCGCCCTATAGCAAAAACTAAAAACAAAAAACAAAACAAAACAAAACATGAAAACCTTGGGACCAGCAGTTAGCATAATGGCTATGTCACTGAACTTGACCGCGGTTCAAGTCCTGGACCTGGTGGCTTAAAACTCACGCTGGGCGTGTGTGTGTGTGCCCAAGATCCCGAGAGGAGAATGGAGGAGAAGGGACTGCGGTGTGGCCATGCCCCCTGGGGGGTAATTTCTCGCTTTCTGTCTGTCTCTCTCTGTCTTCCTGGTGAGCACGTGTGCCCTATAGCAAAAACCTAAAAAAAAAAACCCTAGTAAAAAGTCACCCACTGCCTTTGACTTAAGGACTGAGGGCTGCTGAGCTACCCTTTGGTCTAATTGAGAAGTATAGAACAAACTGTGTCATCTGGGGGATCAGGAAATGTATTTTCTATTAAATCTGGGCTTCCCAAACAGACTCTCTTCCAAAATATATATGGATTCTTACTTGCTTGCTTCCTTGGCTGCTATGTTTCTAATTCAGATAAAAGAAAGCTAAAGCTAAATATCCAAACTAGTTTTGCTCCTCACTAACTGCTACAATGAAAGGAACATCTGGTAAATAGGAAATCAGAGTTGAACAGAAACCATTGCTTCAAAAGGGTCAATTCTGCTTTCAAACCTCAGGCATCTTGATACAAAACACAATTTACACCCTGAACAAGGAACTCCAGTTTCTAAGGCAACGCTCAGTAACTCGCCACTTCTGGAAAAGTGTACAAATGGCTCAGGAAAGCGCAGACTCAAGGCTGGGATCATTTCAAGGAGAGGTTCCAGAGTAATGCTGCAGGATCAATCCTGGCTACAATGTCCAGTAGCTTCGTCACCCTGGCCACGTCACCTCACCTCTCCCAGCTCACTGTTGTGATGACTTGTATAATGCTCATAAAGTGCTTAGAAGGCTGACCGGCAAACAGTATTCAAGATAACTTAGTTATTACTGTAACTGCTCTTTGCTACTAAGAAAATAATTTGGAAACTACAAAAGTAAACTAGTGACACTCCAGTCTGGAATGGTTTAGCTGAAGGCAAAGAAAAAGGTTTTTGTTTTTTCTTTTCTTTTCTTTTTTTTTTTTAAGAGAGATTTTTGCTGTAGGGCACATGCACTCACCAGACAGACAAAGAGAGAAAGCAAGAAATCACCGCGGAAGCATGGCCAAGCCACAGTCCCTTCTCCTCCATTCTCCTCTTGAGATTTTGGGCACAAACGCACACACTCCTGGCATGAGTATTAAACTGCTGGGTCTGGGACTCAAACTTTGGTCGACTAGGTGGGAGTCCAGCAACATCGACACTATGACATCTGCCGGTCCCAAGGTAAAGGTGACTTTCGTAACTCAATTTCTGAAAAATGTTTTCAGCTTTTTCACAGAGACCTAAAAGATAGTATTTAGATCTTATAGAGAGAAATGAAAGATCTGTTACTAAGCCCTAAACAAGGGGCCCTTGCCTCTTGAGGATGAGCATTTCCCCTCTCTCTCCAAAGCTGGTGGTGATGGGGCAAGCTGGGGTAGCAGAGTGTGGTGCTGAATGGACGGGGAAAGACTGAATGCAGGGGCTACAGGAAAGAACAGGGCTGAAGAACCTGCAATCAGTCCCTCTGCTCTAAAACCACATGCTAGTGTTTCCTTTAAGGGAAGCAGAAGGCTTAGACTTCTTCTTCCTTATAACCTACTCTACCAAATAAGCTATCTTCCTCTTTTGGAACATAACTCATACATGTGAGTGACTGTCAGACCCTGTTAGATGAGGCTCCATATGAAGGCAGGGACTGCATTTGCCTTATTCACTGCTGCAGTCTTGGGGCCAGGCCTGGTGCCTGAACACAGGAGACATGCAAAAAATCTCTTATGGGAGAATAAATGAATGAATGAAATTTGAAAAAGAATGGAAAAAGTCTAAACTACTCTCAGGATTTGTTATTCTTTTCTTTATCAAAAATGCCTCTCTAAAGAAAGCACCTAGAATGCGTAGCTAAGCTGCCCATAGTATAATCAATTCTCATCTCTTCCTTTACAAGTAAATGTTAAGATCCATGTAGCTTCTTAAGAAAGTGTTTCTAATGAACTATTTCTATTTCTCTGTCTTTCTCTGAGGGGTCTTGCACCTGCTTAACTTACTAAGGGGCTAGAAATCAAAAGGTCAACTGTGGAAAAGGTTCCACGCAGCCCAGGAGGTTATGTGTAATTCAATGTCCTACTCCAAGAGGCATAGCTTGGGAGAGGAGAAAAGAAAATGGGCAGTAAGTAACTAACAGTGGGAAAAAAATGAAAACCTATAGCCCAACTGTTTGTAACCATATATTTAGCAATTATGAAGAGTAGGCTCTCTAGGATACATAGGAATTTATAGTGTATAGGGTTTATTTTACATATCCTGCATAATTTGTAAATAAAGCCAGAAAAAACATACAACATTTAGAATGTACCTTTATTTTTGTCCTCCAGGAAGCTTTAAGGAGCACTAAAAAGCAGTACCGCTTTGAATGATTTGGAATTAAAAGGATAACCAACTAACTGAATGTCTTCAGTAGTGAATGGACAATGAAAATTCAGCATTTTCCATTCTGATAACTTAATGGAGCTTAAGGCAGGCAATTTTGCTTGAAAGTACCATTGTATACCAAAACGGGTCATTCATAGCCTTCAGATCAGCAAAATCTCAGCTGTGTCCAGATCAACCCACCCTTGCTTCGTCTCTAGGAAGCTTAACCATAAGTCACCACAGACTGGTCTCTGTGGCAGGGCTGAAAGTTCCAAAGCCTGGATAGCCTCACTCTTCTGGAACAGATGGGCTCACTTCCCAGGCCTACTGCTAGCCTTTAGGCAACATGACTGACACCTCACTCTCTCAGGTGGGCAGCTGATGCCTTCCCTGACCGGACAGAGGCACTGGATATTCACTATAAGCTCTGGCCAGAATAAGCCCTGTCACAGAAGGAGTTCAAAAAAGGCTAAATCTGAGACGAAAGCCATTTTATCACACTGCTATTTCTGCCTAGACATCCTTTCTTAAATAATGAAAAAGGATGAATATATCTCTTATATCATCTTAGGAATATAAATTTTAATCCCCTCTGCTTTTTTTTTTCTTCTTCTTCTTTTTTTTTCAAGAATGATTTTATTGAGGCCAGCAGGTGGTGTGGTGGTTAGGGGCGCTGGACTCTCACATGGCCGACCACGGTTCAAGTTCTTGACCTGGCAGCTTGCTTTCTCTCTCTTGCTCGCTGGTCAAATCAAAATAAGTAAATAAATAAAGTTAAATAAAAAGTAAATAGTTCTTTAAAAAAGAATTATTTAATTTTATTAATTGTCGTTATTTTATTTTATTTTGAAGATGACCAAAGAGAGAAGGAAAATGAGAAAGCATGCTGCCAGGTCTGTGACTTGAACTGTGGTCAGCCATGTGGGAGTCCAGCCGCCTTAACTACCACACCATCTGCCGGCCCCGCTGTGCTTTTTTCTTAAAGGTAACAAACAACCACTGAATCATTTGGTTTCCTAGAAGAAATGCTGCTGCTTGAGTGACTATTCTGTGCCTTTTAGTATGTTTACACTAGGTACTACCACTTGCCTCTATGCCAAAAAAACAAGGAAACAGAAGGTAATTGACGGTAATGTGGGAAATTTGATGCATTCAATTTATAAAAAAATGTAATTTCCTTTCTCTATATATAACTTGGTAGAGAATTAAAATTCTGTACAAATCTATACAGTACTATCTTAAAAAGAAGGCACTTTTCTAAGTCTAAGTTTCATGACTAGTGCAGGGCTTACGCGGGAAGAACAAACATGCACAACTGGGCATGCAGCTTGCACCTGGGTGCAGGATGTGGCATCTTACCTGTCACTGTACACAGACCTCTCAAAGATCTGCACTGGCATCGTGGCCTGTAGGAATCTCTCAGGGAAGGGCTCCAGCTGTACTTTCAGGCGGCTCATGAAGGAAAATGTCTGGAATGTGTAGGACCATCGTGTTGGCTCTCGATACATCATATCTAGCAAGTTTCCAAGACTTTGGGTAGTGCCGGCCTAGAGGGAGATGTAAAAAAAAGAGCAGTTTCTAGAAGGCATATTTACTCCATGTTGTCCCCAAGCTGGTTTAATAATCAAGGAATAAGGAGTTATAAAAATCTCCTTCCACTTAAAAGACATATTCAGATCTCCAGCTTAGTCAAAGCTACATAATCAGGGATGAGATTTTCCTACCTTATTAGACAAGAATCTGATAGAGGGAGATGACATGCCATCTTCAATGTAACAGAGAAGATCACACATAGAATCAACACATCTAATATCCTGCTGTAACTCAAATCTCTCCATGTGACACTCTGTGGTTTCTCTTTTGCGCTTCCACCTGTGGCTATCTCTTTATAAAACTTAAAGGCAGACAAGAAAGTAACTGCTTGTATAAAAAGCTAACCACCAACCAAAGAGAAATGCAGCCCTTTCAGGGAAGGACTACAATGTGTTCAAATGTACACATGTTCAACTCTACTTTATACTAGAGATTTTACAAAATGCAATGTAGAGTTTTGCTTACTGCGCATATGCAAGAGGACATGTGTGTTGGATACTCAAGAGCTCAGGATTCTTTGCTGGGTTCTGCTGACTCAATACCAAAGTGGGTTTTTTGCAAAGCACTGAGAAGCTGCATTTATTCAATCACCATTAAATAAAGGCACGCGTGGGTGAGGTGCTGCATGGGCTAGGGGCTAAAAGGGGGACAGGATCACGTTCATGATGTTCACTGTGCTATCATATCTCATTTCATCTTCAAAACAGCTCCATGAGGTAGGTACTGTTGTTATGTTCGTTTTGGCACAGAAAACCCACTCAGTGGTTAATTTACTTATCTAAGGTCTCACGGTGAGTAGTGTTGGATAGTGATTCAAACCTAGCTTCATTTAACCTCATTCTAATACCTCTTCATGTAGAAGTGAACAAGACATGGTACCTGAACTCAAAGAATGAACACAATACAAAAGGGAAGAGAGTGACAAAGATGTACAAGAGAATATAAGGTAGAATGTGCGACAAAGGGGCAATAAAGTATGGTGGAGGAAATCTCATGAAGTTTCTGGAGAATAGTATTCAGCTGGGAAGTAAAAAATGAGTGAAATTTGTACAGATGAAAATGAGAATAAGAAAAGAGCATTTCACAGGGCCAGACAGCGGTGCAGCAGTAAAACGTGGGTACAGCAGTAAAACATGCTGTTCTGCAAGGCTGACCCAAATTGGAAGATTTCATGTTTACGTGAAACTCAGATCTCCCTGAGTATGCTGGGTACACGCATGTTCATGATCAATCCCCTTTAGCATCAAAACCTTGTCGGGGTGCTATCTCTCTCCTTCATGGAAGAAATGAATAAACTTCAAGAGAGAGAGAGAGGGCCCCGGAGGTGGAGTGGTAGGTGAGGTGCTAAATTCCCACATGGCTGACTGTGGTTCAAGTCCTAGACCTGACAGCTTGAAAATCACACTGAACATGTGTATGTGCATGCCCAAAATCTTGAGAGGAGAATAGATAATAGTGTGGCCCTTCCCCCTGGGGGGTGATTTCTTACTTTCTCTCTCTCTCTCTCTCTCTCTCGCAAGCACACAACAAAAAACAAACAAACAAACAAACAAACAAACAAAAAAACAGAGAGAGAAGAGAATACGAAAAGTGGAGACAAAGGTACAAGAAGGGAAAAAAATATTAAGACATGTAGTCTAATTTGTCTAAATAGTACCCTTAGATTCTGAAAAGGGCCCCAGACCTTGGAAAGGCATCAGCAGGAGCAACGTAGTTTCTAAAAGAACCCATCTCAGCTATAGAACAAATCAAAACACCCCTCCAAATATAAACAAATAGAGGAATAATAACTGGACATAAAAATATTCACAATTCAAAAGGAGAAGGCTCAGAACTGTTGCCAGAGAAACAGAAGAAAACAAAAAATCTCAATGAGATTTGTCTCACTGATAAAAAAAGAACACAATACCATAGTAGCAATATGAAAATAACATTCTTGGGGCTGGCAGGTAGTGTGGAGGTTGAGGCACTGGATTCCTACATGGCTGAGTCCCAGACCTGGTGGCTTGCTTTCTCACTTTCTCTCTGTCTCTGATCAAATTAAGAAAAAAAAATTAAAATAAAATAAAAACTTTAATAAAAGAAAAGGACATTCTTAAAATGTAATTGCCAAAGAAAAAATATCTAGGGAAGATAGTTTCTATCTTCAGTATGCCTCAGTAAACCTAATTAGTGAATTAGAAAATTTCTATGGAATATCAGCTTAAGAAATTCTCTCAAAACTATGAAAAAATAGGAGCAGATGGGAACCAGCAGTTAGCGTAATGGCTATGTCGCTGGACTCCCACGTAGTCAACCGCGGTTCGTGTCCCGGACCCGGTGGCTTAAAACTCATGCCGGGTGTGTGTGCGTGCGTGCCCAAGATCCCGAGAGGAGAATGGAGGAGAAGGGATTGCGGCGTGACCATCCCCCCTGGGGGGTGATTTCTCGCTTTCTGTCTCTATGTCTGTCTCTTGTCTGTCTGGTGAGCGCACGCGCCCTATAGAAAAAATAGGAGCAGAAAATTATAAACGAAATGGAAAGAGATGTAGGAGATCCAATACACATTGTAATGTATTGGTAGGTAACAAAACTTTTTGCTTTTTCTTTTCTCTGGAAAAATACATCATGATGTAATGCCACTTATGCCCCACCTTATAGCAATTAATACAACTCTGTATCAAACAAAGGCCACAATGATCTCCTGCAACTTCAATGTACCCCTAGTTCAGAAAAAGCTACTTCATCAAGGACATGATTTTCCTTTTCAGAAGAGTCCAATCAGGCTTTCCCTCCTTGGCTGCTTGAGGATATACCACCATCATAAATGACAAAATAATTATCCGAGCCAGGAAATTCATGACCAACCAACTACTTCAGAGGAAACAAATGGTCACTGATGTCCTTCATCCGGGAAGGCAACAGTACCTAAGACAGAAATTTGGGGAAAACTAGCGAAGATGTATAAGACCACACTAGATGCCATCTTTGTGTTTGGGTTCAGAACCCATTTTGGTGGTGGCAAGACAACTGGCTTTGGCATGATTCACGATTCTTTGGATTATGCGAAGAAAAATGAACCCAAACATAGACTTGCAAGACATGGCCTCTATGAGAAGAAAAAGACGTCAAGAAAACTGCGAAAGGAACGCAATAACAGAATGAAGAAAGTCAGGGGGACCACAAAGGCCAATGTTGGTGCTGGCAAAAAGTGAGTTGGAGAGTGGAGAACAGTCAAAGGAGTAAAGATTCTGCGATAATTATCTGTGGTGATTGTGCGGATTTTTCATGAGAGGACTAATAAACTAAACATTTTTCATGTGGGAAAAAAAAAAAAAAAGAGTCCAATCAGAAGGTTAAATGTCATTCTCTAAAGAAAAAGAAATGAGCAGAGGAAGACCCCTAAACTGTGTGTCTCTCTCACCACTGAAACTTCCTGTCTAATAGAACTGTGTATCCTGAGGCCAGCAGATGGCATGGTGGTTAAGGCACTGAACTCCCACATGGCTGACTGCAGAGTCCCAGACCTGGTGGCTTGAAACACGTGAGGCACGCAGGCACGTGTACGTGTGTGACCAAGATCCTGGGAAGAGAAAAAAGAGACCGCAGCATGGCCATCCCCCCCAAGGGGGTGGTTTCTTACTTTCTCTGTCTCTCCAGCGAGCACACGCACTTTATGGCAAAAAGCTCTCTAACAATGAAACAAAACAAAAACCAAAAATACCCAACGATGGGGGAATAACACAAATTTCTCATGAAGAAAACAAGATCAACATCACATAGTACTTCTCTTGCAACAGAAATTACCTTTATATTACAGGGAGAAAGGCAGTTTTAGACAAGCACTCACTCAGAAATTATACCACCCACATATGCTCTCTGGGAAAGAAAAAAACCTTCTAGAATATATCATCTCAAAAATGAATAAAGAATTATGAAATGGGAAGATGTGGTGATGAGGAAACAGTGGTCAATGACAAACTAGGAGAACAGAGTCAGTGGTAAAGTAGCTATTATTTATGTGGTTATGCAATTTGATGCCAATGTAAGAATTGTTAAAAAAAAATTTCATACTACAAAATCATTCTGACTCAAGAAAATTTCAGATTTCAATACCTTGGGGATGGAGTAGAAAAAGAAGGTAACAAAAAAGAAGCGGTTTTGTTTTCTTTAAGATTTACTTATTTTATTTCATTTAAATTTATTATTTTTTTTAGCCAGAGAGATAAAGATAGTGAGAAAGCAAGCCATAAAGAACCACAGTTGACCATGTGGGAGTTCATCACCCCAACTACCATGCCACAACACCCCAGTTTTGTTTTTTCACAGAGACTCTATTAACATTGATAGATAGATTTAAACTTTTTTTTTCTTTTGGTAAGTTTTGCCGTAGGGCACACGCACTTGCCAAAGACAGAGAGATACAAAAGAGAAGGAAAGTAAGAACTCACTTCACAGGGGGTATGGCCATGCCACAGTCTGTTATCCTCTAGTTTCTTCTGGGGATTTTGGGTGTGCGCGCGTGCGCACACACACACATGAAACTGATGTGATTTTTTGTTGTTGTTGGAGAGATTTTCGCTATAGGGTGCATGCGTTCGCCAGACAGACAGAGACATAGAGACAGAAAGCGAGAAATCACCCCCCAGGGGGGATGGTCACGCCGCAATCCCTTCTCCTCCATTCTCCTCTCGGGATCTTGGACACGCATGCACACACACCCGGCTTGAGTTTTAAGCCACCGGGTCCGGGACGCGAACGGCGGTCGACTATGTGGGAGTTCAGCGACATAGCCATTACACTAACTGCTGGTTCCCAACCTGATGTGATTTTTTAAGCTGTTGGGTGTGGGAGTCTAGTGCCTTAACCACTATGCCACCTACTAGCCCTAAACATGTATATTTTAATTTAAATGCTACCACTAATAGATAAAAACAGTAAATTATCCATAAAAAGGAAAGAAAAATGAAAAAAA